ATTTTTGTGTAGTGTGTGTCCATTCACATAGAGTGGGGGTGTGTAGGGGCGCGACAGGATTTCAGATACCATTCACAATACGCTTTATCTATGGAATTGAACCTGTTTTTCCCCAGATATTCCCTTTAACCCAGACAGACAAGCAGGACTGGTAGTAGTAGTAGTAGTAGTATGGTCCTAGACTTGCACAAGTCTCTAAGGTAATAATTAAATTTTTGAAATATTAATAAAAAGAACAGGCTGTCCATTAGTCTGTCGTACAAACCCTGAAGCAAATATATCCAAGAAAGCCCACGCAAGTCTAGAAAATGTGGCAAGTCTAGATTCCCTCAGCTTCTGAAAATGAAGAAAGTCTCAGGGTTCCTTTTCATTATATTATATTTTCATTTACTATGAACTTTTTTCAGTAAAATATGTTCATTTCAGAGACTAGTTGTTAGTCTAGCTGTCCATATAACAGGTGCGTCTTTATGTATTGTCCACTTATCTAGACTCGACTCTTTTAAGGAAAGAGTTACTATACCCCCATGGGTAGGTGAGTTCAAACTGCAAGCATGACAGTTTCATTACATTGGTGATCTGTGGCAAAGGTCACCTTCCAAATTGATCTCGTTTGCTGCCAGACTCACAAACGTCAATTTTTTAGGTGAAATGGTGTAACCTTGTGTTCATGATTATGACCCGAGCTTATCTGGAGACGTGCGTGACCTTATCTGTTAGTTTGTTTGTGGTTACTTAATCTCGTTGGTACCAATAAATGCCGATTTAATACAGTGCACACCACGGAGATACCATGCCACAGTCTAACATGAAAATCCCACTCTGACACAGTTTACAGACTCCAAACAAACCAACACTTGTTTAATTCCCTTGATACCAAACGCCAGGCAGGGTAACAACATATACCCTGCTTTAACGTCTTTAGGGCCGAGGACCGAACCAACTACGTTCTCCGAGCAGACTCTCTATCCACTAGACTACGGACCAGAACTTCTATAAACTTGACACTGTCAGCAATCATACTTCGTTGTCAGTAATAGTACTTTCTCTAACAATACGTCCGTTTGCGGCGGTGACGTCGTCTTTCTGCAATATCGAGCTGAAGGTCTGACAGTGACATATTTTAGAATTCATATCCAAAAACGGTCTTCCCACACACAACCCTCCTTCCCCTGGCACCCCACCCCAATTAAGTAATACGGTATGGACCCGTGAAGATCCGGGTTAGAACTGGATGCCGCTGTACAAAGCGATCTTGGTGCTCAGGTGACCGTGACCCCCATACCTTAACACAGACCTAAGGTAGCCTTCAAACCGAAACATGAGTCTCATTAACCTATTCAGACAATGACCTACTTTTCAGCAGATCCGAATTTTCTCGTGTGAAAGTGAAAATAGACATCACAAACAACTATGGTTACACTGAATTCCAATTCCTTGTTTCATAAGAAAACGGTATTACAAAATGAATTTTACTTTTAAACTTTAATAATATCGTATATTTTGTTCGTAAACTTTTCTAGCGGCAGAGCCTCGTTTTGAGATTTCCAGGTGTCTGTTTGTCAGTGCCCGCTGTACAACAGAGCACGCTGCACGACATGTTGCAAGGATTACAAGGAGCGTAGTGTTGCAATATGCAAGTGCTTAGATGTATCAAATAATACTGATTAATATCTATGTATCCAGTTAAATGAATTGGTCTCAAAATTATGGACTGGTTATTGTACTAAGTTGCGGAATAGGACGGAACCCAGTCAACAGGAAACGAGACTGTTGTGTAATTAAAGTTTTGACTTGAGCGCTAAGGTTGTTTTGTACAACGACACCCTGGCCTTTAGCAACCCATGCTTGTAACCCTGTAATGGTTCAGGGACTGTGAGACAGAGTAGTCGTAACCCATACAGCTGGAATATTGCTGAGTGAGGCGTGAAACAACAACAAAACCCAACTGTAACAAACGACTAACCGGATCATGTGGTCAGGCTCACTGACTTGGTTGACACATGTCATCGTGTGAGAGTTGCGTAGATCAATGGTCATGATGTTGATCACTGTATAGTCTGGTGCAGACTCGAACATTTACTGACCGCCGTCATACATAGCTGTAATACTGCTAAGTGCGGCGTTAAAAGGAAAAAGAAAACCCCAAATAAATACTGTATGACATCCAGGAACGAATGCAGGAGACTCTGTGTAGCTTGTAGCATCACTTCTCAGTGTAAGGTTTTGTTCTGTTTATATTTGTATGTACAAGTACCGTTTGCTGCGGAGCTCAGAAATTCACTATAAGGAAATAGGTCGGTTTCTTTCAGATGACTCATCTACATCACACGTGTCATGGTGGAAGACGATAAGGTCGTGACCTTTCATCTTGACATGATATTGGAACAAATCACAGTAGTTCCAGGTGACTGTGGCCTTAAGAAGACATGAACATTCGTTTTCTTTCTACATAACCCGTACTTTAAATATTAGAGCAGAGACCATATACCGGTATATGGTCTCTGGTTGGAGGTATAGTAATACATAACAGGATACCATACGTATACCAATAGGTTTTAATGTCAAGGAAGTCAGATTAGGTACAGGATCATGTTGGATTTATATTATTGCCTGTCAAGCTTTTACTGGTGAGGCATTAGAAACTAACTTTAGAAACGCACAACGTTTGAAATAAAAGGGATTAATTAATAAATCAGGAAGTCTTTGAATTTGACGCCACTTTGCAGGAAAGTATTTTGATGTAGTGAGTAAATGCTCAGCTTGAGTAAAACATAGTCCCCGATATAACACTGCCGTGTGTATACATGATTGAATCAGGCCTTGACTTCTCGAAACAAACTTAAGTCTGAGTTTTGACTTAAGTTAGAGTCTTTACTCACATTTGAGAAAATGCATTTCCCATGTTGAACTGAAATCGATATTAAACTCAAACATAGTGGACAATTGGAGTTTGGTGGATAGATTACTTAAGTTATTTGGGCTTTTTTATTTTAAAAATGCAGTTGAGTTAAAAATTCAGCTGTTTCAAATTCAGTTTGAAATTTGAGTAAAAACTTAAGTTTGTTTCGAGAAATAGGGGCCAGTCCAGGACATTACAAACCAGCGGTTGATATAATGAGCAATGTTCGATGCTGTACTGGTATAGTACGTAATCAAAAGAGAGAAGGAGAGTGGTACTAGTTACAGAGTTAATTCATTCTAGGACCTCTTATCCACAGGATTCCACATAAGTGGCATAAACATTTCCTGCATAGTTTTTGTATTGACCCTGTGAAAGAAAGTCTCATCATAACCAACACTGGACCTCCCGATGTGTGTGACTCTCCAGGACCTTACACCATGCACGCCTTATCCCCATTGCGTAGATCGATGTTCATGCTGTTGATCACTGAATTGTCTGGTCCACACTCGATTATTTACAGACGTACGCCATATAGGTGAAATGTTGCTTAGTGCGGTGTTAAACAACAAACAAACAAACAAACAAACAACATGCCTACTGTGAGCTGCATTAAAATATCTGTATCCATATATACAGAGTAAGTTAGTTTCATATAGCTATATAACATACAATCGTGAGTAAAATAATATACATAACCTGAAGTTCTGGTTAAAACAATCGAAAGATATATCATATATGCCTTTTTAATTAACAAAACCCCAAATCCAAATATACTGACGTTCATAAGAAAGTACTCACCTGGTGTTTTGGGACTATTCCAAATAAAACCATAAATATTTTGCTAGCAATGTTGTAATTTGGTACAATATCTGTGGTGTTTTGGAAACACTTGCACAATGTTTGTGACAAGGCAGAATCAAAACACTTTTTAAATATTAATGACATTTTAAAGAAAATATTTTACCAAAGAATCAGGTGTGTACTTTCTTTTGAACGCCAGTTTATGTGCCATATTCTTCTGGGCCATCTGAGGGTTGTGAAAAAGGGAAATCCTCTATGTCTGTTTTACAAATGCGTAAGCAATGTATTAAGCATACAATGTAATTGTTTTAACCAGAACCTCAGATTCCTGTGACGGAATTGGTGCTCCAATCGGTACTTCTTTCAAATGTTCCTCTATGTGTTTTATTATCTTGATCATATTTGCATCGTCTCGTGTCATCAGATTCTGACCCTCTGTTGAATGTCAATCATGTACGTGTGCATTGTCCATTTTATAACAAGTATCTAAACAGTACATTTGGAGACACGTGATTGTATTAGGGAAAGTTTCACCTTTATTGATGAATAATTGCCGGGAATGTTTATCCCAAGTGCAAGCATTTTCTTTTAAGGATATTCTTTACCTGTGTCTAGACAAGTTAATGCAAATTACATAAAAATGAGCGGGTCATAAACGTAAAAGTTAACTCGACATGGCAGTCACAGCTAGTTAATTGTTGATCAGATATAGATCTACACGTTATAAAGGACAGAATAAGTATCATTTAAGTTGTCTATAAGATAATAAGATTAAAAAAAGGTGGGGTCTCCTATTTCAAATGAATTCTAATTGAGTGAGCTTTACATACAAATAGCCAATAGAAAATAGCAATCATTAGCTATAGTATATGGCATTATGTTAAATCTCCTTTCGCTTGAGAAAAAATGGCACTTTTCTTTTTGAGGAACGAAAGGAAAAATAGTCAAACAACCTGCAAGAGGAATGTATTAATTTGCTACTGTTGTCTAACAATAGGTATACTCCCTTAAACAACGGATTAGCCGGTAGAACAAGCTGCCCTGCCCTGCAACGCGATGTACTGTTGACAACAAGTGCTTGACAGTTCTCGCCTGTTTGCGAAGGAACGTATAAACCGTTTCCCAAACGACAATTTCCATTCGCTAGACAATAAAACAATTATTTCGACTAGTATGTTATCACCAACATAGTGATATAATCTGTACAAATGCCGATATCTCTTGATTAAAATAAGGTCCCAGTATTGTAACAGTTCGGATATTATTTTATGAAATGAAGCAGTGGCAAGATAAAGGGTTGTCCACCAAGCAGTATCCGAATTGATTACTGAATCGTCCACTGGAGGTCGCTGTATAGAAGACGCCGATTTCATTTATCTATCTTCACATGGGTACAATGTGAGAAGCCCATTTCTGGTATCCCCTGCCATGATGTTGCTGGAATATTGCTAAAAGTGACGTAAATCTACACTCACTCACAGATGGCAGAAAAAGTAGTGTTAAGTGGTATGCCAGAGTAACAAGTCTTGATTAGGCTCGGTAGGGGTGTGGTAGTGTAATGGTGTTGGGTGGTATCACACGACATGCAAACAAATTTAGTTTTGGTAATGAACATTTATCTTGTCAGTATGATGATGAAAGTTTGTGTCCTGTCTTTGCTCCATTTGGTAAATTATCAACAGAAATCTCGAACTGCATACTGACAATGGCAGACCAGTTTGTCACCATTTATCTCTGACAGGAAGACATACAGACTTTGGACTGGCTGCTAGGTCCACTGACATGTCCCGAATATAGAACATCTGTGGCATGTTCTCGGGCTGCGAATGTACAAGAGAGATCCAGCAACCGCAAACTTGGCCCAACTTAGGGTAGCCCTTTAGGTGGAATAGTGGGTAATATCAGGACAACTGTACACTTGTTAATCAACAGTATATGCTATACATCATGGTGCTGTGCATTGTATCGCAAACATGGTTGACACACCAGATATTAATTTACAATCCTGAAATTAGTTTTAGTGACCTTTTTGTGAGTACACCTTCACAATCATTTTGTCAATTCCCTTATCTAAGTCAGTAGTAGTTTTGCTCTTTATTGAATCTGGCAAGTTACATGAGCTATCACTGTCTTGCAAGCATGCAATACAAGTTTGCAGGTTGCTATGCCCTATCATGTAGATCATTTGGATGATATAGTAATACTAGTATGAATAGATTGTTGGCTTGCATGATTATTGTCAGTTCAAAACTACACTATTTCACTGAACACCTTTGGGTATTCTGGCTTCAAATTGGTCCCCTATAACCTGTGCTGGTTGTAAGTGATGAGGTGGATCTTCAGGTCATCCTTGGTAGATTGTCTTTTATGGTACTCTGATGGCTTGGATTGTTGCTGGCAGTGTCAACCTGAGGGTTGCCTCCAGGTAGGATTTTGAAATGCTGCTGTCATCATGGTCATATTGACGGAATACTGCAGAACTGCAGTGTGCAGCTTTAAACAACAGAAAAAACTGGCATGATTTGTTAGTGAAAAATTCCTGCATGTTTAGCTTCATTTACCATTGTGACTGCTGCTATGCTAATGACACAGGTGACATTGTTGTCATTTTAATTATTGGTGGAAATTATTTTATCAGTGTCAAGAAATCAGTAGGTCACTTATATCAAGACTATGTGTTTAGACATAGAGGTACAAATGAATATATTTGTAGCATTGCACAGCTGCCAATATGCCTTGTGTTTAGTGTGGGAAAACCATGACATATGATGTAACAGTTAATGTGAAGGCAGCAGTTAATTAAGGCCCTGTATGACTGTGAATGTAACTCACAATGAATCATGTAGCATTGTGTTAATCAGGCACACCTGCTGACCATGCTGTCTGTAGCTACTAATTGGATGTTTTTATGTCCATGCTCATGAGATACATGCTTGTGTTTGATCATATCTAATTGTAGATACTACCTGGTCCTAGGAACAAGGTAGCATTGTCTATGCATCAGAATTTAGTTTGAAAGCCTTGCCTATTTTATCAAGGACTTTAAATATATTGAAAGGTTTTGCTTTAATATTGGAAGTCTTAAGCATGTTACGTGTGACAAAGCTGAATCTTTAATGATCCTGTTGCTCAAATAATAGTTACTCTCTTATGTCTACTCTCCTCCATTTATTATGAACCTAATGTGAATGCTCATGATGTCTGTCACTGGATTGTCGGGTCATGACTTGATTATTAGACATTATATCAGGGTTTTACATGATGCGTGATTCCTGCGTATTTGACACAACAATTTTAAAGACTCTCAAAATGTCACTGTACAAGTCAAGCTTGCCGCAGTCTTATGAGTGACCATCAGAATTCAGTTCAATAAAATCGAAATTTGATAAGCAAACAATGATTTGTTTCATTGCAAACTGTATTGAAAACTCTCGTGATATGAACAGAAAGTACGGGAACACACAGTGGCTTAAAATAGAGCCATGCTAGAATGCGGTAAAGATACCAGCCAATAACATTTGAGTATGTCATTCACTATGTTTAGACAGCCAATAGCAGTTGAGTACGTCATTTGCTATATTTAGACTATGCTTTGGTCATTTAAGCATTGTTGATCCTGCTAAGAAGCAGCAATCTCTTGACTCGTTTTTCTGTAATGAAAGCAAGAAAAACAAATCTCCTGACGTTTCTAATGATGAGCACTAAAACCAACTGCTAAATCATAACCAGTGATATGTGCATTTGGGCAAAAAATATATATAACCCCTTTACATTTGCAAGTCAAAATTTTCAGTGTGTAAAGATCAGTGTGAAGCCCATTTCTGATGTCCCCCGCCGTGATTTTGCTGGAATATTGCTAAAAGCGACGTAAAACCAAACTCTCTTACTCTGAAGATCACCTTGACGCAGTTAAAAGTCACGAATTTCAACAGCATTTCAGCACATCTGTCAAAAATGCAGGAAAGGCAGACATGGTTCACCCTAGTGACCAGACTGATGGTCACATTAAACAAATGCTTACTGTTTATGTCATGGCGCAAAACATATTACTGCTGATACTTGTAAAGATTTGATGACACAACAAGTTATCTACAGCAAATTGAAGCCATAAAGAGCAGTCTACATATTGGCCTTATGTTTGATGCGGCATGTTACATCACTGCAGAAAAAACCCTTACAATTTATGTTAGGTATATTGATAGTGAACTCTGGGTGAACCGGCTGGTATACAGTATACTGGACTTTATGATTTTGATTTACACGAAGAAATATTACACTAAAATTTTCATGACTCCCAAATCTTGAAAATGACTCCCAAAAATACATATTGTGAGTCACCATGACTCCCATTTTTCAAAGTCTGTGTAAAACCTTGCATTATATTGCTAGAATATTGCTGAATGTGGTGTTAAACAACCCATAGACAACTATGACAACATGAAAATACTATTTTCAACATGTAAATTATATTTTATGACCAGTTGTAGTTCCATTTATTTGAATAGGTGAGGTGAGGTGAAATTGGGTTTTACATCGTGCTTGAGAATATTTAGCTCATATGACGACGTGCATGTGTGTGTATGTGTATGTGCGGCTGCTTGTACTAGCCCAGATTTAAGCTGGTTTTATAGTGCTAGCCCACTGAGATACCATGCCGCAGTGAAGCATGAATACCCCACTCAGACACATTATACTGACTCCGAGATGACCAGTCCTTGTTGTACCCATTAATGCCGAGAGCCAGGCAGGGACCAACAAGTACCATATTTTAACGTCTTTTGGTATGACGCGGTCGGGGATCGAACCCGCGACCTTCTGCTCTCCGGGCGGACGCTCTAACCACTACACCACAGAGGCGGTCTTATTTGAATAGATTGCGTTTAAGTCCCATGTAGTCACTAGTGTAGTGGGTGATCATTCGTAACTACTCGTGTCATTCCGGCAAGCTGGATGGCGACACGTACCTCTCTCGTGGCCATGTTCACGACCGTCTCCTTGTCTAAGTGCAAACAGGCATGGAGATGAAAATAGTCTGGGACAATTTCCAAGGAAAGATAACTCTGAATTTCGAAACATGGCTAGAAAACAGCAAGAACAAATTTGTTTAGAGATGTTTCAGTGTTGAAAGTTGCTGATCCAGTAGCCCAAAGTTATGTTTAAATTGTGCTCTGCTTAGTTTAGCGAAGTTTCAAAGTTCGATGGTGCCACATTTTCATGCTTCGAAATGCGTCAACAATTTCCTACGCCAATTAATTTATAGTACACCTCGAAAGTCACTTTAAGAAAACTTATATCGTTAACAAATATCAGTAACAAGACAATTTTATAATCACAGAAATAATATTGAAAATCTGTAATTGCAAAGAAACTATTTGACCTCATTTCACATTTGGCAATAATAGTGAACTCTCCAGGTACGAGTTTTCTTATTGGTCACGGAAAGAGACGCAGTTACGAATGGTGATTGATTAGACAATGGACGTTGTTAGTTGTATTTATTATAATATCTTGTACTTATCATTCATCATATTCATTTCCTTTTAGTAACAAAAATTGTTTCACCAAGCAAAGAAGGAAGTTTGACCATAAATTATGGTGATTATTATTATTGTTTGGTTGATGTCACTACAATTGATTAACAATGACAATACACCTGTACATGCTCTCATCCAGCTCAGTTTCTGACATACTAGTAACTGCAGCAGTGTAGGACTCTCTTTTATTGTTGAACAATGACATGCCAGGGTGGTATCTTTTAAATGAAAAATGCAACATAGTTTGTGATTGTTCACAGTTGACAGAGATCCACATTCAGTGATCGATAGTTCATTTTCCCCTGATGGGACGATCATGCCGAAGCTTGTTGCCTTCAGCTGAGTTAAATCCTCCAATCAGCTTATGTTCAACTGACGCTGTACCGTTCAGCTTTGTTAAAAACACTTTAATCTGTTTGTTTGCCTGGCGAGGTAGAAGTGGGACTTGGGACCAGCTGATGATTCAAGTTCTCTCAAAACTAGTTTATTTTATATTGATTGCCTGTCAGAAGTTCTGTTTGACCCACATATATGCATTCAGGTAGATATTGACCCACATTTGAACATGTCTAGACTCTACAATGCACAGTGTGCTTTTAGAAAATTCCAGCCTTTTTGCATTTGTAATTACATCATAACAATGATGTGCACCCAGCTGAGATGTCCCTGCTAGCTTCAGGTTTGTGTTTTCATCTTTTCAAGGATAGAACTCCTTCTGTAGTTTGGAATACCTCTCTTCATGCTCAGACTTGTATTATTTTACTCCATATGGCACCCAAATCAGGCCTTCCTGCTAAGTCAACATTCAGCATGTGGTTCTGAGGTATTGGAGTCCTGGAAGTATTATC